TGGATTCAAAGGTTACTGGAAGAACTCGGGCACAAGCAGGAGAAAATTACTGTGTATTGTGACAGTCAGAGTGCCTTGCACATTGCAAGGAATCCAGCCTTTCATTCCAGGACAAAGCACATAGGAATTCAATATCACTTTGTTCGTGAAGTAGTAGAAGAAGGAAAAGTGGATATGCAGAAGATCCATACAAAAGACAACATAGCAGACATAATGACAAAGCCTGTCAACACTGACAAGTTTACATGGTGTCGATCCTTATTTGGCCTATTGAAAACATAAGCAACATGAAGTATCAATAAAGAAGTGTCAGTGGTGTGAAGATATGATTAACTTAATCATAATCTTCAAGTGGGAGAAATGTTGGGTACAGCTGCCAAGCCACTTTCGGTGGCTTTTAATTTTTAAATTAAAAGCGGGTCCCACATGATAATAAAATAATATTAAAGGTTTAGGAGAAATTACGAAAATGCCATTGGGACTTTCCTATAAATAGGGAAGCTGAAAATCATAATTTTCATCCCAAATCTTCTTCTCTTCTCTCTTCCTCTCTTATACACCTTGAGATCTGTTCTCGGTAGTAGTAGTCTCCTAATTCAAAGGAGTAAGTTATAGAGAGAGAAGTGTTGTAATTTCCTCCCTTTCAGTAAATAATATTTTTACTGTGGTTATTTTCTCCCTTGTCTCTTTTTTACTCATCTCTTATTTTAGCTGTGAGTAACTATTAAGCCTACTCTGGACCTAACATTAAATGCATTTGTGAGTTTAGTGTTTATTTTTAAACTTAATTTATAACTATTAGGTTCTTTATTTGTCCAAATAACGATTAAATAAATTTGTCAACCTGATACCTATAACAGGTTCTTAATTTGTCCAAATAACAAGTTAAATTAGTCCTATTATTATGGTATGATTGATACATGATCGGTCATATAAACTCGAATTTAAGAAATAACTTAAAATTCGAAAGGTACAAAAACAAATGCTCAATACTAAATCATTCCGGTGTGAAGAAAATATTAAATTATTTAACACTAATCACCACTTACTTACCAACCCAGGATTTTTGATTACTCAAATTCTTATAAACTTGTATATAATATGCACATATAATCGATCGATATATGATTTTGGTAAAATAACATAACATAGTAAAGTTTTTTGATATTAAATATAAGAGTAATAATATTTAAACATTCATATATTTATTAATCTGTTTTATTTTTTTCTTTCTTCATATACCTTAATCTATCATTTATCTCTTTTGCTTTTCTCTTTTTTGGGTGTATTTTAGCACATTAGATTTCCAAAAACTATGTTGCTCAATACAAATTGTTTCTTTTACTTGAGATTAATTGGACAAGTTATTTGTGTCTATTCTTAAATCCAAGGTTAAGTATAGTGAATTATAAAAATATTTCAAACACGTCGCCTGAGAGATTCGAACTCTCGCGGGGAAACCCCATGTACTTAGCAGGCACACGCCTTAACCACTCGGCCAAAGCGACGCTGTTGTTAGAATATTCCCTGATTCTTTTCTTGAGCTTCTGTTAAGTGAGTTTCTCTTTAGTTATAATTATACCTCGTCCTCCACATTACTATTTTTTTAATTAAAAAAAAGGTGAAACAAAATGGATTAATAATTATTTATTAGAAAATTAACTGTTAAAAATTATGATAAAGTGAAGCACATATATAAGACAGTAGTTAGTGTACTTCCGTCTGAAATCCATGTGTAATAAATAGTAATATCTTTCTTAGATTGAGGGATAATGATTTTGATTTGGTATGAAAAATCCAACATTTTTTTCCCTTTAATGTTTGACAGGAGGGAGAAACAGTGAACATCTTTCTTTTCCACTTAAATTTCTTTCATCTATTATTGTACACAATTCCATTAATATATATGATACACAGCTACATGCTGTTGCCAACATGAAAAAAGAAAAAGAAAATGTAAAAACATCGGAAAACTAGTTTTTTCAATGGTAACTTTTTTGTCTTTTTTTTTTTGGAGTGCTAGGAGCAAGAAAAAATAAAAACAGAAGGATGTATCATACAAACTTTTGAATCATTTCTCTGACTTCTTCAATAACTAGCCAAGCCTTATGGCCTCCAATTACTTCTGCTTTCATCTCTCCATCTTTCCATAACTGCAAAAAAAATCGTTTTCCCTTTTATTTTCACATACTTTGTATCTAATTCTAAACCAACACTTGAAGTGGCAATTTTTTCAATGGTATATATATAATAAGCAATTAAATGGGGGACGCACCTGAATTGTTGGCATTTTCTGTAATGCAGAACAACAAAATAAATAGCAGTCAAAAGTGCATCACATCAGAAGTATCTAACACACTGTTACCAGAAAAAAAAAAATTAAGAATGAAAAGTCTCACTTACAGAGATGTTGCCACGCTTGACTAGAGTTTGAGGTACTTTATTGACATCCACGTAATAAAATCTGGCTCTGAAACAGTGCCAATAGAAGAAAACAAATGAATAAGTAGCAACATTGGTTTGGTTTCGATTAACAAATACATTGTATTCCATACTTGAATTTGCAGTACTGGTTAATCTCATAGTTGAAGGCTTCACAGCCTCTTCAAATGTTATATGTATGCAGTAAAATGTATCTACCAAAACAAAAATAAAGTAAAATGTTAAGAGTCATTTGACTGAAGAAAACACAATGACACGTTTACTTGTTGTGATATTCAGCAGCTAATTTTTCCAACTTGGGCTTCAAATAGATGCATTTCCTACACCAAGTAGCCATCCTACATTTACAAAAATAAAACAAGTAATCAAATGAGCAACTCTACGCCCAAAATTCCATAGCACACTGACTAAAATTTAAAATAAACTCATTTTAGTCTTTTCAAGGTAAAAAGAGTTACCATTCTAGAATCTAGATCTTCAATGCATTTTGATATCACTTTTTATGATTGAATTACAAAATCGGTGTTAACTTTATTTGGAGGATCAAAATTGCCATTACGATTGAGAAGCTAAAATTTGTGTCTATTCTTAAATTTTTTGTGACAAGTAAAAACTATATGTCACAATTCTAGGTTGAGATTTTTCATTAAATATTCAATTTATTACAAATAATTTTTTAAATTAAAAATCATAATGGTGTGTTTGGTTTTTTATTAGGAACCGTAAATCATAATTTAGGTGGAAGCTATAAGAAATAATAAATAAATAAAAACTTCTATTCTAATCATGGTTTGAAGCTTTCTAAAGAAACATGAACTCGTCCTACAAATTAAATAGTTATTCATCATTCAACCTCCTACTTAATTATTAAATTACACTCTCTCCTATCAATTTTCCCATATACGAAGATCTTCTCAAATAAAGTAATCTTAACTACATATATTTCTAAGTTAAATATTTTTACTTTTTAAATTTTGAATTATTTGTATTTTCTACTTATTTCAATTAATTATATACATTTTTTTTATAAATTAAAAATATTATTAATACATTGTATTATTAGTATTATAAACCTGTGTTACTTGTACAAGATATAAAAATGTACACAACATGTATTGAATTTGAAAACACATCCTTGTCCTGCGCAAAACTCGAGTTCCCAAAGCATCCTACCACCAGATATCTTCAAAATATCTAGCTACAGTGAATGACCCCACCCTGCACATTATCTTCCTATGACCTATCTAAAAAATCTTAGAGCCAGGTTAAGATAAAAGAAATATAAAAATAAATCCATTAAGAATGTATTATGAATAATTAAAATTTATAATAATTATTTTATTAATCGATATGTATCTTTAATATAACTATTATTTGAATATTTAATTCAATTACATAAGGAAAACCAAAATTACTATAACTACTTGTAAGTTGATTCAGTTGCGCATAAATATAAATTATATTTAAAATCTTGTGTAATTATAAAAGAAAAAGTTGTAGACAAGATGGAAAGTGAGAGAAAAAAACGAACCAATCAATGAGGATGGGTTGTGAGTTGTGTTGAGCATGAAGTAGAATTTGATCAAGATGTTCACAATCATTGATTTCTTCCATCTCTATCTCGCTTGGTCTTGACAAATCTGGCCACATCGCTTCCACACGCAAATTCCTTCGTTTAATCTTGGCTTCTCTCTTTCTGCTTCCAACCCACATGTTCCCATTATAACCACTCTTGTTAGAATACAAATAACCTCTCCCACTTGCGAAGCACTGTGGCCACTGTTGATCTCTCTGGTAAACCTCTCCACAGAGAAAATGTGAACACGCGCCTATAACAGACATACCCTTTTCCACTTCCACGGCAACCTTAATTCCCTCTTCCGATGATCACCAAAATTATATGCTTTCTCTCTAATGGGTCGGTTTATTGCTAACAAAAATGAAACCGAATCATTCTCGAATTTTGTTGGTCTTGGAATCTATGAAGCAGGGTAAGGGGGGAAAGAATAATAAGACATGGAAATAATGTTAATTCCTTAAAAACATCACTAAGGCTTATCCGGAAGGTGTGCACAGCCTCATCTTATGAAGGATAGGGGGAAGATGTATATATTGGAAGGGTAAAGAATGAGGGACCCACTCACTCGATAAAGCTCCAATACCTTCTCCTTATTTTATCAAGGTTAAAATATAATCTTAGTACGTATACTTTCACTTATTTTATCTATCAGATTTTATTTTATTTTTTAATTTTTTTAGCATTTATAATGTAAAATAAACTTTTTTAAGTTTATGTCTTTAACTTTTTTTTTTTTAAATCATCTATTTTGTATTGATATGATAGAAATCTTCAACTTTATAATTTTTATAGAATTTATTTTGTCAAAATTATCCTACATTTAGTCTTTTAATATTTTATGTTTACTGGTAATGTTTATTGTTAAGATATTTATTATTCAATATTTTCATGTGCGACCTTGTCGGGATTAATGATAATAAGTGTCTAAATAATAGATATTTTAGGAGGAAGTGAGGGTAAAAAAAAAAGGTTTGAAACATCGACAAACTTATTTTAAGATAATTTTAACAAAAATAAATTTCACATAAAAAATAAAATAAAAAAACCTATATCACATCAACATAAAAAAGATGACTTTACAAATTAAATAAAGGTAAGGATTAAAAATATCTAAAAAGATAAATTTATGAATTAAAAAAAGTCTATCTTATAATATAAAAACTAGAAATAATCTATTTTAAATCATAAAGACTAAAAAGTAAAGTAACTGAAAATAAAAATTATATTTTAATCTTTTATAAATTATCAAAGTAAAAATATTCATCATAAAATAAAAATTATTTACGAATTGAGTGATTTATAAGTTAGTAAAATAAGAACGTTAAATGTACAAGTATAAAAACTTGCATGCTTGGCTTTTATTACAAAATAATAGGATGTTGATTATTTTTAAAACAAACTAAAGAGAATTAAGTTAAATAAATCAATCCATTAACTAAAATAATTTAAAAACAATTTTTATTAAGAGTAAGCACAAATAATATGAAATTCAGTTTAAACTTGTATTTTTTATAATGAGAATTTGATAACTTTGTGAATCTATAACTATTAAAACCTCATTTTGATGGATATACTTGTTCAAGTAAATAGTGATGTTTGATTTGAAGATCCTTAACTTCATATTTGATAGTTATAAGAATTGTCATTTTTATAATTTTCTACATTTCGTTTTTAGTATTTTTATATTTTAATGTTTTAAATTTTCCTATTTAAGAAAATCACATGTGACTCATATCGCTATTAGAATTAAATTTAAAACTATTTATTTGCATGAATTGGGACTCAGATCTAATAGGGTCAGCCTGATTAAAGGAGGTTTGGATAATTTAGCCAACATGTTTAATTCAAATTTTAGTATCCCGATTGTTAAGAAGAAAGAGAGAGGTAGAGGGAGAGAGAAAGGAGGGAGAGAGATTTTTTTATTTTAAAAAGTAATATTATGATTTTTTTATATGTAATATTTTTTTTATTCAAGAAAGTTTTCTTAACTTAAAAAAAATAAATTTTTAATTTTATAAAAATATTTTTATTTGTGAAAAAATAAGATAAAAATGATTATTGAAAAATTATATTCTAAGATTTTTTCTTAATAATTATCAAATGTAGAATACTAAGAATTTAAATATAAAATTTTTAAAAAATTAAAAATATTTCGCGTATTAAATAACCGTAAATGCCATTCCTTTTAACAGGGAAAAAAGACTCAAAAGAGACGTCCTGTGTTTCTCTACATTCATAATTAGTACAATATAAAATTATAACTTATGAAAACGACGATGAAGGTTAAATAGAAAATCAAAATATTATTTTGAAATTATATTACGCTTTTTTTTTATCTGCAGTTAAAATATAACATTGATATACTTCATAATATTAATTAGGAAGCAAAATAGTCTAAAATATATGGGGGAGAAAAAATGAGTATCCTTGTTCTAGTTTGATGAAATGTAAATTCATAATTAGCCCTTCATGTTAGGAGCCCTTTTAGACTATTTTTACCCCCCC